CACAGCCCAAGACTTATCAATGGATCAACCAGCAAACATTTGGACAGAGAGTAGGGACAAGGGCCTGCAGGTTCCGGGGCCAGAGCTGCCCTTTCCTTGTCCTCAGGCCCAGCCCTCTTTCTGGGCAGTGCCACATCTCACGCTGCCCAGTAGGTTTTCCCTACCCCATCACGGCCCTGCGCTCACCTGGGCCGGCTTAAGGGGCCCTTCAGCTTGGCCAGCCATCGGGCATAGCCAGGGCAGCCCTTTCTCTGGACTTGCAGGCACTCAGAGTGGAGGGGGCTGTTTGGTGCTCCACTTCTGCACCTGTGCCTCCAGGGAAGGCTTTGTTCATCCTGACCCAGAATGCATCTGCACTGCAGGCATCCGTCAGGAGTTTCGTCTTTAGTCCCCTAGACATTTCCATGGAGCCTCCCAGCCCCTAAGAGGCAAATTCATTCTGGAGCCTCTGATGGAACAGAGCCGAGGTGAGGGCCAGTTTTATGGAAATCCTGTGTGTTGCAGCCTGGAGCTCTTTAGGGCTGTCCTAATTTCCTTCAGGCCCAGTAGGCAATGGCCGCGTTGAGGACAGCTGTCTTTGCTGCATATCTTTGCAGCAAAATCTTGTCGAACAGAGACCTCGTCACTGACCCCATGAGGAAAAGAGGTGTGTGCCTGCGGCTGTTCTTCTTTCTGGGGTCTTTGACCGGCTTGATGTCCTGAGATGTTTATGTGGGGGTAGGTGCCCTTCTCTGTCTGGTTTCTCTGGGTCAGGAAAGGTTTCTGGGGAAAAGGGTAGGAAGGAGGAGGCAGCCAGGTGAGGAAGAGGAACCCGTTCTAGGTTTGGAAATGGACCCAGGCTGACCTTTGTGCCTGGGCTGATTCTGCAGGTGCAGTGAGACCTGGGAGCCTTTGTGTCCTCTGAGAACGTAAGATATTCTTTTGGGGACTGGGCACTGCTCCTTGCCTTCCCTGAGACCTGTGTGTGTGTGCGCGTGTGTGTGTGTGGAGCAAGCTGGGGCCTTTCCCCCCTTCTCTCCTGTCCTGCTGTTCTCCCACTGAGAGCCAGCTGGGTTCTGGAGCATCCCATCCCCTGTTGGGCACCTTGCCCCGTCCCCCTGCAGTATCCAAAGAGCAGCACCCGTAGCGGCTGTTCTGTGCTTGCATTTTCATTGGCTTGGGAGGAGGGTCTGTGAATGGCCCTATTCTACTGAGGAAGGACCATCCCTATGTATGTGAGAGAAGATGGACAGAGATGCAGATCGGGAGGTCAAGGCAGAAAGGTCTATAGTCCAGTGAGGCTGGCAGACTTAAACTGGGAAATGTGAGTCAGGATTCCTGGGTTCTGTTCTTGTCTCCACACTTGCCTGAGGGTCCTGGGAAAGGCTCTTTGGCCCAACTGTCTATTATCTATTTTGGGGGGATATGCATCCTCGAGAGGAAGCCATCATCACTGCTGTTAATAACTAGTCCCATGAAAATACGAAATCACCCCAGGGCCTGTCCAGGCCTGAGAGATCCAGCCCGGGGCTTGGGAGTTCCACGCCCCCACACACACTCCTTTCTGCAGGGAGCACCCAGGAAGGAGAGGCCCCGCCTTCCTGAGGCATTCCCCCAGCCCCACAGGAATGCGCCACTTTTATCTCCCACTTGGCTCTGACCAGGACCATGGAATTCTAATGCTGACACAGACACACTGGGCTGGACTGGGAGTGGAGGAAACCGGGGAGTGTCATCTCTTTAAAGGAAACGTGAGCCCCTGGTCCTTTGCCACTACCTAAACTGCTTGCTCCCCGTCTGCTCGAGGTACTGGGGCAGCTCTGGTGATGTCATACTTTGTGGAGTGTGGTAAACTGGCTCATTTTCAGAGTCCCGAGAGAGGCCTGATGTTTACAATGCAGTGTAAATCACAGCCGGTGAGCACCTTGCCCTGTTCTGGGGTGAGCCCTGGATTTACTGGGGATCTGGTGCAGCCCACACAGAAATCTAAAGGGCAGCAGAGCTGGGAAAGAAAAGTTTTTGTTTAAAAAAAGTGTCAGTCTCTAGTTAGTACTGCAGTCTATTACTCTTGGGCCATCGTCCAGAAAAGAGGTGAGACCCAGCAAGTAGCTGGGGAACGAGACTTCAAGGCCTCAGAAATGAGTCACTTGCCCAGAACTGTGGTCCAGGCCAGAGGTTATCTTTTGACTTTTCTGTTGCCTCTAGTCAGGACACTTAACCAAGTCGAGAGTGATGAGTATCTTCTGGGTTTTATAATGGCCAGAGAAGACAGCTCCAGTCATCATCAGAAGCCGACTTAGCATCCAGCGAATCTAAACTCGGAACGTCTCATTCAGCCTCCCCATTTTACAGATTAGGCTGGGGCCCAGAGAAGGTATAAGCCTTGCTTCCTGACTCCTAATTTAGGCTTTTAATAATTCTGGCCCTCGTGTTGGCCCTTCTTCCTTTGGAGAAAGAGAAAATGGCCCAATTTTCTCCAAAACAGGGCCCAGCGTGTGGCATACTCCAGGACTGTTATTTATCTGGCCTGCTCTTAATGACAGCTCCTCACCTACCTGGCCAATCCTAGGAGGAGCCCTGGGCTGGAATTTCCTGTTTTCTGAGGGCTCCCGGGGGCTGCCCCAGCAGGCCGGCTCCCCTGCGCCGCCGTTCCCGGGTGTTCCAGGCCAGACTTGCCGCCTCTCCTGGCTGGGCTGGCTCCCGGCCTCTCCAGGTCTGGGCTTGCCGGCTGCGAGGTGGAGGAGTTGAGGCACTCGGGCGGCCCACACCAGGTGCCCGGAGACCGGAGGTCCGTGCGCCCCGGCGGCGGCCCCGGCCCGGGCCCAGCCCCGCGCCCTTCGCCATGGGCCTGGCCCTCGCCCGTGGGCCCTGAGCATGGAGCGGGGCTGGCCGCCGGGGGACAGCAGCAGCGGGGAGCGGCCCGCCGCCTGCCGCCGCGCCCTCAGCGTCTGCGACTCGCTGGACCTGCACGGCGCCCCGGCTGGCCGCGCTGCCGCCGCCCTGCAGGCCGCTCTGTGTGCCGCGCGCGAGCAGCCGGCGCGGCCGCGGAGCGTATGCTCGGGTGGTCCGGGGCAGCCTCCCGCCGGTGCCCGCGGCCTGCTGCTCGGCCTCCTGCGCCCGCGCCTCGGCCGCCGGGGCCCCGTGCCGTCGGGGCCGCCCTGCTCGCCCGCGCCCAGCCCGGAGCCCAGCCCCGCGCCGGCGCGGCGCAACCGCACCCGGGGCGAGCCGGCGCCGCGGCCACGGCCCACCAGCATGACTTTCCTGGAGGTGAACCGCCTGGAGCTGGCGGCGGCCGAGGCGCCGGGCGCGGGGCTGGGCCGTGCGGGCAGCGCGGGCTTCCTGCGGGGCGCGTCGCTGTGGAGCAGCCAGCGCTGGCAGGTGTTCCGCGGCGGCGGCGGCGGGCGCAGTGCCGACGGTCCCCGGCGCGGCCTGTCTGCGCTCAGGAAGAGCTTCAGCTTCCGTCTGCGCCGCGGCCAGGAGATCCGGCGCTCCGAGTCGGGGCTGCTGGCGCGGCCGCCCCGCGCGCGCACCCGTAGCGACGGCGACGCCAGCTCTCTGGGCGCCTTCCCCAGCCGCCGCGACCTGCTGGGCTCCGAGGCCCCGCGCGCCGCGCCGGAGCCGGGCCGCCCCCGCGCCGCCGGCCTCTGGAGGCTGCTCACCAGCCGCTTCCGCCGGAGGGAGCCCGCGCCCGCCGCGCCGCTGTGGAGCCGCCGGGCAGCCGCGGCCCCCGGGCTCCTGGGCGCGAGGAGCGGTAAGGGGGATGGTAGCGCGCGCTTGGGTGGCCTCCCTGGTTGGGGTCTAGCAGGAAAGGAGAACTTGTGTGAGAATCGGTAGGGAACCTAGCTGCCAGAGATACATGTGCTATGCCGGCCAGGGGCTGGCAGGGACTGGCTCACGTGCCATCAGCCCCCAGTGTCTGGGTCGTTTGCAGTGTCCAGAGGGGCTGACAGTGGCAGAGGATTGTAGGGCAGTGCAGACAACAGCGTTGCCATAACATCCTGGAATAGGGAGGGCCTGGGTTTGGATCTGGCCCTCCTCCTATTTGGCAGATGGAGAGTTTTGGCCCAGGAAAGGAAGGACACTTACCAGCATCAGATGGTTCTAGCCAGCCTAGAACGTTCCCTAGTTCCCAGGCCGGGGTTGAGCTCTCGCCTCTAGCTGCCTCTGCGGATGAGTTTAGGGACTGCTTGTGGACCTGGCCTTTGAGACAACCCTGGGATAGCGCCTCTGGGAGCCAGGGGGGAAGCCAGTGCTGCCCAGCCAGAGAGGCAGGCCCAGGCCAGGGCCACCCAGAGCTGGCCCAAGGGTGTGTGTGGAGGCCTGGAGGATGAAGGCTGGCTGTGGGTGGGCCTGGCTAGCCTGAGGCTTCCCTTTCACGGGACACTGCCTGCATCAGGTGCTGAGAATGGAGTGGAGGGAAGGACACCCGGGGAGGTGGGTCTCTGGGAGAGAGAGGTGGCAGCCTCCCCACTGAGGAGGAGCCTGCGAGGGGGCGGGGCAGGGCGGGGTAGATGGCTCCTGGTTCGACCTGCCCCTGACAGAACAGGGCCGGGTGAGGCTCCGCCCTCCTCACCCTGGCTCAGGAATGTGGTGGGTGGCCCCACCCTGCCAAGGGTGAGCTGTTCCTACTCGCAGGAATCTGGCCCACCTCCTGCCAGGTGCCCAGCCCTTGGGACAGGTCTGAGACCTGCTGAAGTGGCCTCTAACCTGGGCCTCGTACCTGGGCCCCAAGGGCTTTAGGCTGGGGCAGGAGGAGGAGGGATGCAGGTCCAAGTCCAGGTGAATTGAGCCCACAGCCCTCAGAGTCCTGTCCTGAAGACTGTCCTTGCTCTGTTCCGCTCAGAAAGAACCTTCCCACTGCTTCCTAGGGAACTAGGGGTGGAGGGTTGGGGTCTCCTTGAGGAAGGTGCTGTCCTCTGGTCTTGGCCTAGGGAGGGGCATCCTGGGTGACACTGGCGCTGGTGGTGAGGACAGGTATATATGTCACCTTGGCACTGATGGGGTGGCTCTGTCTTCCACAGACTCATTTGTGAACAGCCAAGAGTGGACGCTGAGCCGCTCTGTGCCGGAGCTTAAAGTGGTGAGTGAGGCCCATGGGGCGAGGGTGAGCAAGGCAGGCAGCCAGGCCTGGGCCTCGCTTCTCCCGTGCCCTCCCCTGCTCCTTCTCAGCGTGTCCCTCCTGCTTCCTCTCTCCTGCCCCTTCAGCCTTGGCCTTTCTCCTTCTTGCCTCTTCTGCCTTCCCTGCCCAGTCTTCTCCTGCGTGCCCGCTGACCGCCACTCACCCCCTCCTCTCCTGCAGGGCATAGTGGGGAACCTGTCTAGTGGGAAGTCGGCCTTGGTGCATCGCTATCTGACAGGGACCTATGTCCAGGAGGAGTCCCCTGAAGGTGAGCGTCACAGGTCCAGCCGAGGCATGGAGGCTGGCCTTCTGCTTCTGCCCCTCCACAGGGTCAGGGTGAGGGTCTCCAGCTCCTGTCCTTCTTAGCCCTCGTCTCCGGGTGGATTTCTTCTCTGCTCGGCCTCCTTGGGCTCGTTCTCCTCATCTTGGTGCTGACTGTGCGCTCTGTCCTAGGGGGGCGGTTTAAGAAGGAGATTGTGGTGGATGGCCAGAGCTACCTGCTGCTGATCCGAGATGAAGGAGGCCCCCCTGAGCTCCAGGTGATGCTCCTGCCCCAGGGCCTGGGGCCCACCCCCGTGCCTAGAGGCACTTTCTCGAGCTTGCGGACTGGGGGAGTTTGCGAGTCTGGGGAGAGGGGTCCACCTGGGTCTACCTGCCTGGTATGGGAGTTTGCTGGGGCCCAGGTGAGGGTGCTAATTCTGCTTGGTCTCCCCTAGTTTGCTGCTTGGGTGGATGCAGTGGTGTTTGTGTTCAGCCTGGAGGATGAAATCAGCTTCCAGACGGTGTACAACTACTTCCTGCGGCTCTGCAGCTTCCGCAATGCCAGCGAGGTGCCCATGGTGCTAGTGGGCACGCAGGGTGAGGCGGGGCCCTGCAGGAGCAGTGGAGGGCGGGAGCCCCGCAGGGATGCACGGTGGGGGTGGCCAGGTGTGAGAAAGCCCCCAGCCTCCACTCTTTGCCCGGTGCTGGCGAGATCTTAGCCCTTCCTGAGTTGCCGATCACTGGAGGCCTCTTTCTCGCTCTTCCCCAGCGGAGTCTTGCAGTTCGTGTTACTGGTGTCCATGTTTTTTGAATTGAATAAACAGAGACTCAGAGATTAAGTGGTTGCTTGTTCGCACTCAGGGTTGGAATGAAGCCCAACCTGTGTTCTGGGGGCTCTGTGTCCCACTCAGGGCCCTTTGCCCGCCCACCCTCTGGCCAAAGGGCCCTTCCCTCCACTGCTCCAGCTTTGCAGAAAGCTGAGTGAGTCTCACCCTCCTGCTTCCAACAGACGCCATCAGTGCTGCCAACCCCCGGGTCATTGATGACAGCAGGGCCCGCAAGCTCTCCACAGACCTGAAGCGCTGTACCTACTATGAGACGTGCGCCACCTACGGGCTCAACGTGGAGCGCGTCTTCCAGGACGGTAACTTGGGCGCCGGGCGGGAGTCGCTGGCGGGCCAGGCCAGAGTGGGCTGTAGGAAGACTCCTCGTGGGCAGGGCGGTATGGTTTGGGGGGAGGCACTAAGCTGGGCTTTTCCCTTTTCCCCAGTGGGTATAATTGACTCTGCTGTCCCCTGCAGTGGCCCAGAAGGTAGTGGCCTTGCGGAAGAAGCAGCAGCTGGCCATCGGGCCCTGCAAGTCACTGCCAAACTCGCCCAGCCACTCGGCAGTGTCCGCCGCCTCCATCCCGGCCGTGCACATCAACCAGGTGTGGTCAGCCGCCCCACCCCACCCCACCATCCCCACCATGCCTGTGTCACCTCTGTGTGTCCCACCATCTCTGCTGGCTGCCTTCTCACACCTGCCCACTTCCCTCTGACCTCCCAGCCTTGCATGTGGTTTGAAAACATTGGCTGGAATTCCATGTAGCCTGCATGATCAGCCTTGGCCTCGACTGCCCCGTGCTGCCTGCCCCTTCCAGCTGCGCTTTCCTGCTCCCCGCTGTTCTCACCCCCAATCGCTTCAGCTGAGACAACACAAACATTTGCTGCTGTTAACGCTGTCAGAGTTATCTCGGACAGCTTCCCATTGAAACCACACTCAGAGGGCACGGGGAGGAGAGAAAGTTCCTTTAGACCTGCTCCGCACTGGCCCCGGGCGAGACTGGGAAGCAGGTGTAGGCCTGAGCCCCTCCGCTGTCACGGGTGGGTGCCTTCTCCACTTGCCTGCGGCCTGCAGTGCTGTCCTCCATGGGAGTGGAAGCAGCAGCTGACAGCCATGTGCCCACCAAGCACCGGGAGTTTGCCCTCAGTGCTCTGGGAGTGTGTATTCTAGAAGGGCAGCTCTTGTCCCAAGGGAACGAATGGCTCTGGGTGTCATGCGGTATTTCGGGGCTGGGGGGTAGTGACGGCTTCTGAGCCAAGTCCTGCCAGTGCTCCTCCCATAATGCCACTGGGACACCTGTCCACACCTGGGCCTATTGCCAGGTTCATTTTTGGCCCCTGGCATATGTACCAGCACCTGGTTGAGTAGCCACATTCCCTGCTCTGCCCTGGGCCATCCACAGATGGAGTGGTCGAGCCAGTGGCCACTGTGCCTTGCTTCTGCCAATGGCCATCATCTTTACAAGTCCTGCCTGGCCACAGCCAGCTTTCCGACGACAGCCTTGTTGCTTTTCAGAGACCCCTCCCTTTAGGGCTTATGAGAAGGTGGCAGCATCCCACGTGGGTAAAGGAGGAGCAATGACAGGTCTTCCTTCACTGTCTTTGAGCAGCCACGCCCTGCGCCGACAGAGCTCAGGGCTGGTGTGGCTCAGCTCTGCAACGGCCCTGTCTCGTGGGGGTAGGTCGTGAGGGGCAGTGGTCTGGGCGCTGTGCTCCTTCCGTACAGGCCAGGGTTCAGGGGAGGCAACCAGTCAGGCCCCGCGCTCTAGCACGGGCAGTCGAGGGTGAGGCCTCCTGGTTTTCCCGTGCGTGTTTCCCGAGCAGACACTGCTGTGCTCTTTCTGTCTCCACTCTGTGATCTCTCTTGTCTTTCTCTTCCTTTCCCTTCTCTATTCCTCATCTGCAACTTACTCTGACTGGCGGTCTTAGCTCTGTTCTGCTCTGTTTCGGCTGTCCCAGGACCCCGTTCCCTGTCACACACATGCGGGAAGCACATCTCAGCCTCCCCGAGCCCAAGCCCGGCCCCAGCACCCACCTCCCAGTGCTGTACCCTTGACATACGCCACTGACTCTGGGGGCTCATCTGGGGCAACCTGCTGTCTCCTTCCACGCCCCTTGCGAGGCAGGACTTTGCAGTTTGTTCCTTGCAGGCATTGTCACTGATGTCTGCCTGCTAGCCTGGGCCTCTGATTTAGCTCCCTGGGTGGCATAGAAGCAACCCTGCTGGGGCCCCAGGACAAAGGTTCACTGCCCTGGTGGGGCAGCCCCAGCATGGTGACAGCTGCACCCTGCTGGCCTCCAGGCCATCCTCCTCTCCCCCAATACCACCTGTAGGAGCTAGCAGCTCCTCTCCTGGCCCTTGAACCCTCTCGAAGTCCCCATGACCTACTGCCCTGGCGCCTGCCCGCACCTCCCAGAGCCGCCCTCAGCAGCCCTCTTTGTCCTTAGGCCACGAATGGCGGCAGCAGCGCCTTCAGCGACTACTCGTCCTCAGTCCCCTCCACCCCCAGCATCAGCCAGCGGGAGCTGCGCATCGAGACCATCGCCGCCTCCTCCACCCCCACACCCATCCGCAAGCAGTCCAAGCGGCGCTCCAACATCTTCACGGTACGTGACCCGCCCTCCTCCCGCCCAGCTGCCTTCACGGAACCAGCAGGGCAGAGCGCTGCGCTCCCAGCCAGGAGGGGCGTGGGCAGCGCCCCCGGTCAGGAAGATGCCACCTGCAGCCTGTCTGACACACAGACACTTGCGGCTTCCAGAGGCTCCTTACTGGTACCCTCAGAATCTTCCAGACTGGTCCTCTGTGCCCACGAGTGGCTTTCCATGGCCGCCCTCCTCACGTCCCCCAGGGGCCTCCCCGCCCTCTGCTGCACACACCAACCCCACTGCCGCCTCCCTCTCTCCTAGGCCCCTAGGGTGTCTGTGTCAGCTTGGCGGGACCTCTGGACTCACCTGGCCTAATGCCCCTGAACCCCTTTGATTCAACAGCTAATGAACCGGCGGCCGGAAGGCTGTTTGTCCAAGGCGACACAGAGGGTTAGCTGGCCGAGCTAGAATCAGAGCCCAGGCCTCCCAGTCCGCCTTCCAGCTCTTTTTCCGTTACCCCACTGCCGAGGGGAAAACTCATGCTTTCCACCCACCGCTGTGATTGGTTTAACAAAGGCTTAGCCATCTTTTCCTGGGCTTCACCACGCTGCCTCGTTCCTCCCTCTCAGGTTTGTCCTGTCTCCTTGTGAGCTACTCACTCGCCCCTCTCCGCAAACCTCAGAGCCCACGCTGGGGTCTGGCGTGCCCTCCCTGCGAGGGCCAGCCCCTCAGCTGTAGGTCCCCCGCTCCTGCTGTCTCTCCACTCCCTGTTCCGCCACGCGGCGCCCACCCAAACTCTAACGCTCCAGCCGGGCTTGGGCTGGACTGTTCCAGGCGTCTTGGGCCAGACGAAGGTGGGTGAGCCGCCTGTGTGTATTGTCACGAGAGCGCCCGCCCTTTGCGTCACGCCATGGGCCTCTTTCTGAGAGCAGAGCTTGGCTCTCAACCTGGGTCTGAGTTCAGCCGGCCAGGCCAGACTCTCAGGACCCTGCCTAGACAGAGCCAGTGCTCCCAGGCTTGACGCGTTCATTCTCACCTATGCCCCACCCGGCACGCTGCTCCCACCTGGCTGCCTGCCTGTGTCCTCCCCGGGCCTGCCACGCGCCCTCCGCCATCATGCTGACAAGCCTCCTGCTGACAGCCACCGCTGCACACTGCACCTGGCCAGTGCCTACCATGCCCAGGCTCACAGCTTCTTGTTTCTGTTCACACTCCTTGAGATACAGAGCCTCGGTGGCCACCTGTTTGTGCCCATGCTGCTGCTGCCACTGCCGCTGTGGAGCGTTTGGGTGCCTGTGCTCACGGTGACCACCGCAGTGCCCTGGCACCCCGCTCCCTGACATCGTGCCTCAGTCATTCGCTGCCTCAGTTCCATTCTTAACCTCCCCTCCCCCTGCTGGCTAGTCTGCAGCAACCCCAGGGCACCCTGCCTCCCTCTGCCCTGCCCGCACCCAGCTCCATGGCCTCCTCGCGGCGCCTGTGCCCTGCCATCCTGTGCTCTCACTGCCTGCCCGGCTGCGCTGCTCCCTGTCATCCTTGCTCTGCGAGCTCACGGCACGGCCTTCCCTGCGGGCCCTTCCATTCTCTCCATCTTCACAGTGGCACCTTATTTTTTTCTTTCCATTGTTTCCATGGTGACCTCACTTGCACCATCGTCCCCAAGGCGGCCTCAGGCATGTCCGTCTCTGTGGGTGTATCTTGGGACCTCCCTTCATCATTGCTGTCGGGGCCACCCCTCTTCTCCCTCATCGTCTTCCCCAGCAGTCACACTTGCTCGAGGGTGAGCCCTCGTGTCCTGCCTGCTCTGTGGCTGGTGACCCCCCACTGGACGTGGTTGTGATGTCCCTGGTCTCCTCCGTCACTTCATGTACTCATTTTGTTGCCACTCTTGCCCCCATTGCTGTCTGCAGGGGGGAGGTGCCCCTCTGGGCCCCCTGGGGTCCTCTGGTGGTTGGGGTCCTCTTGGCTTGTAGCCTGGCTGGGGTGGGCTGCACCCCACTCTCCCCAACCGGCTCTTCTGTGTGGGGACCCGGTGGCAGCGGTCACATCCACCTTCCTCCTCCCTGGGCCGAAAGGGCAGAGGGCTGTGGCGGTCTGGGCTGTGGAGCCCAGGAGGGGACCAGGGGGCAGCGATTGACTCTCCGGCGGCTCTTTGCCCAGTTCTCCCTGCTCCCTCTGGCTGTGCTTCCTCCCACACTGCAGTTTCGGCCCGTTGTCCCCTTGCTGTGCCCTGGGCTCCTGACAGCCTGGGAGAACAGGAGGGATGGGGCCTGGGCTGCCGAGTGGCGAACGTCCCCTACCGAGATGGACTGCTCGGCCTGTGTCTGCCCAGCAGGTGCAGTCGCCCGCCGCCTCCTCCTCCTCCTCCTCCTCCTCCTCGTCCTCCTCCTCCTCCTCTTCATCCCGCTGCCGCCGCTCCCCAGGTGCCTGGGTCTCTGCCCTCACCAGTGCTGACCGACTTGTGCGGGGCTTGAGTATAACTTGCCAAAATCTTTATTCTTTCGATATTTGCAGATATGTGCCACTGTTTCCAACTTTTCATCAACAAAAAGGCCTTTCCAACTCCTTCCAAATTAGAAGACCAGGTGGTGACACACAGCACCTCTGGACATTCCCCCTGTGCGGGGCCGGAGGCGGGCCGGGCCCTGGGACTGCTCTCAGATGAGAAGCGGCCGCCGAGCTCCCCGCTCCAGAGACCCACGGGAACCTTTGTAACTAACCCCACCCCCAGGGAAGGCTAGGAGCGCTGGAGCCCGCGCTGGGGGCTGCCGGGGACCAGGCCCGGCTGGACGCTGCGCCAGGCTCGCTGCATGGAGAAGAAGGGAGCTCGGCCCCACGCCCAGCGCTGGCGGCGCGACGAGGCCCACAGGGGCTGGGGAGCCCAAGCCCGCCCAGCCCGGCTGCTCCTGGGGGGAGCTTTCCTGCCCCTCCCTCCTCTGCTCCTTCCTGCATGGACTTCTGCCGTTCCTGCTCCTGCTCCGGAAGCTGCCGCCGCCACCGCGCTTGCCTTGCCCCCTCTTTTTGGCCTCCCCCTATTTCCTAGGATCCGCATTCGGGTGGACTCTGCCCCAGGAGCTTGGCAGGGCGCAGGGCCTCTTCTGGCCTCTCTCCTCTCTCTCTCCATCCACTGTGCCCCTTGGGCCACGCCGACGTGCTCGGTGCCACGTGCCGTGTGGTGTCTGTGCCGCAGACGGGCCACCTGCCCGCTCACTTCTGGACTTTGCTGTCCCTGGTTGTCGTGCCCTGTGCTCCCGGCCAGCCCTCAGCCCCACCGTCCACCTCTCCTCTCCCCTCCCTTCTCTTATGCCCCAGCCCCCTGGGCTGCGTGCTCCTCGCACCCTTGGTATTTCGTGTCCTTGCTCTTTTGTAAGGGGCGGGCCCAGCTCAGTGACCTGTGCTGCTCTGTATGGTGCCGTGTGTAAGAATAAACCCGTTGGAATACTCGTGGTCTCAGTTCCTTCCCGTCCCGCCGCCCCAACCCGGCCACTGCTAGAGCTGCCCAGGAGGGAGGACAGAGGGAGGGCTGGGGAGTCCAGGTGGGCAGTTCTCTCTGGGAGACCCTGGGCCTCTTTAACACGCCTCTTCTTTTCTCTTCCAGTCTCGAAAGGCTGCAGACCTGGACCGGGAGAAGAAGGCTGCTGAGTGCAAGGTGGACAGTATCGGGAGTGGCCGGGCCATCCCCATCAAACAGGTCAGCACTTTCCTTCCCCTGTGGTCCAAGGGCAGCTCAGAAGGAGGCCTGGGAAAGGCTAGAGTGTGGTTCTTCTCAGGGCCTGTGTGTCAGGAGGCCAGCCCCTTCCTGCCAAGCCAGGTCCTTAACAAGGGCCAGGTGCTTCTGGTAAGAAACCCGAGGCTGAGCCCCTTCCCTGGGCCACCGGCTTCCGGGCGCACCGTCTGCCTGTACCTGCTTGTCACCACCCGGGGGCAGCAGAGAGCCACCTGCAGTCCTCAGTCGCTCTCCTGGACCTGCTGGTTCTGGAGTTGGACCTGGAGAGGGCTGACTGAATTCGCAGATGAGTGACCTGAGCAGTGTGCATTTAAGGGGATACTGAGGGCTACTCCTGCCCCAGGTTTACTGGCACAGTTTTATCAATATGAGTCTGTTTGTTTTTAAAGAAAAAACTTAGTAGAGATGCCACCTCCTAGTCACTCCCCCACTTCCCTTCTGAGTTACTGCCTGGGGGTGCTGTGCCCCTGCCCCCCTCAAGCTTGGCTTCTCCCAGACCTCCTATTGTGGGTCCCTGTGCTGGAAAAGACAGCGATGGGGCGTGTCCTTGCTCAGAGGTGGTAGTGTGCGGGCCAGAGCTGCTGGAGTGCACAGGAGTAGAGTGGGGGGTGTCTGTTTGGTGTATGGGCAAGAGCCTGAGCGGCTAAGGTGCCAAGAGGACAGTCAGGGGGGGCAGTGGGCACACCGTGGGCTCTGGTGGTTGGAGGGGCCATGTCTAGAGGGGGCCATGCTGCCAGGTTTTGACCACAGAGAAGACTGTGGCCAGAGCACTGGGGCTTGGTTTGGCATGGCCAGCGGTCAGGTTTGCCCTCCTGGGCTGGGCGTTTCGGGACCCATGGGCAGTGTGACCTCTTGGAGGGACGGGACCAGTCAGTGTGACCAGGATTCATGTGTTAAGGTTGGGGATTTCTTTTCTTTTTCTTTTCATTTTTTAAAGAGACAGGGTCTCAACAGTTTGAGACAGTGGTCTCAGACTCCTGGCCTCAAGTGATCCTCCCACCTTGGCCTCTTGAGTAGCGGGTTACAGGCTTGAGCCTTGGCACCTGGCAAGGTTCGGGGTTTCTGACCCCGGTGAAGCCCATTTAGAACGAAGAGTCCCAGGAAGCATGTGAGGGCTCCGAGGGCAGGCCAGGGCGCCGTATGGAGCTGTCCGCCCTGCCTTTTCTACTTAGCCTTCCCTTGAAATACTCATCGCGTGTATGTCTGGCAGAGCTCACTGCAGTTGGGTTAGCCTACTGGGCGGGCGCCTGCAACGGCTAAGAGCACAGAGTGACAGCAGTCCGAGGCCTGCCCCTCCTCCTGTGTGCGTCTGTGTGTGTATGATGTTTGTGTGCAGAATCGGTCCCCATACAAACCTGTTGATCAGTGGACTTCCCCGCATTCCCTTTGTAGGGGCCTCTTGGTAGGTGACTTGTCTGTGTTTTGGGCGCAGGATCAGCCGCTCCGTGCTTGGAGGCGGGGGGGATGCGAGGGAGGGTGTGGAGGGCGTGGGCTTTCTGAGTGCATGTGTGCACACCACTAAGCACGTTTAATAAGTGAACGGGAACACCTTCCTTGGGGCCCCACGTGCTCCCTTTCCTGTCTGCGGTAGTGCGACCGGGGGCCGACTTATTCTCTGAATCCCCCACGTGAAGGGGGAGATGTAGTGTGGGGCGGAAGCCCTATGAACTTGCACGTGGGGTTCTGGTCCAGCCTGGGAGTCAGTAGGTCCCTGGGAGTCAGTAGGTCCCTTGGGTGCTACAGCCCCTAAATCTAAAGGGCTCTTAGTAGGAAGGTCCCCCGCCATGCGGCCTTGAGCCCGCTGCCGGCTGGGGGCCAGTATCAGAGGCCTGTGCTCCCAGATCTCAGTGGCAACCTTTGGGGTGTGCATACCCCTTCCCAGTCCATAATGACAGGGACATGGGCGGGGCCGGCCCTCGTCCCTGTCCTCTTCTCCAACCCAGTTGCCATTCCTGGAGCTGCCCCTCCGGAACCTGCCTGCTGTTCAGGGCCCCGCCCTGCCAGATCTGCGGCCCCTCCCCTCTCCTGCCCTCCTGTCCCGTTCGCTCTCCTGGTTCTGCTCCTTCCCCTCCCCCCCAGCTCCTGCTGGGAGTGGAGATTGCATTTCAGTTGCCATTTGCATTCCCAATCAATCCGGACTCCGCAATTAAGTCGGCTGGCGGAGCTGGGAGGGAGGCGGCGGCGGGAACGGGTCCTCTGGGGGCTGTCGCCTCCGCACCGCTCCCATTCCGCCCCAGATTGCTTCCTGCTCTGCCGTGCGCAGCCGGCCGGCCAGGGAGGGGAGCAGGAACCCCTGCAGCTCCTCTCCCTCTTGGAAGGAGCTTGGAGAGGGAATGGGAGAGGCGCGGGTAGGCAGGGCTGTGCGCTGGCTCAAGCGGTGGTCTGCCGGTTTCTGGCCAACGGGCAGGTGAGAGGTGAGCTGCAGAGGGGAGTGTGCGGCGGGGCGAGCCTCTGGCCAGGCCCTGGGCTGCGCTGCCCACGCCTCCCGCCGACCAGCGGCCTCATTACCACAGGTAGAGGCTCACCTCTGGCTCAGGGCTCTCCTGCTTCCCCTGAAGAGAACTGGAAGGAAGGGCAGAGTTCTGGGTGGGAGAGGGCGTCCCTCCCAGATGCTGCCTCCCGGCATCCTGACTTCTGGTACCTTCTTGGGGAGGAGGGAGGACCTATGGAAGTCTGAGTCGGAAAGGTGTGGAGAGCCCAAGTCTACCCTCTTGTTTGTCTGAGGAGACAGAGGCTCACAGCAGTAAATGGTTTGTTTGGTGTCGTGGCGCTCGCTGCCGCAGAAAGCGAAGGGCTGGCCCTAGGAGGGAAGGGCTGAACTGTGGCTTGACCCAGGGCTGGGGGGGACCAACTAGAGGCCCCTGTGGAATGTCCCATGGAAGGCTGGAAGGCTGGGGAGAGGGAAGTGGGCCAAGCGGAGGGAAGGGAGGGAGTCGTGAGACTGGTGGGCTCTCCTGGCCAACACGTCCTCCCCAGGGCTGGGCTCAGGAGGGGGACCAAGATGGCTGCCTGATGACTCGGCCAAGGACAGCTGTTGGGGCTTTGCCCGGGGCATACGCTTAGGAGTTCAGTCAAGACATCCACTCTGGGCCTCTACCCACACCATCCACTTACCCATGATCATTCTTCCTCTGGTCTGTGTCCTGAGAGCGTGACTCCTGGGGGTGTCTCCAGAGCCTAATGGCCACTGTCCTCGGGGTGCTTGTCCAGGAGCCCTGGCTACGGGCCAGGGGAAAAGGAATAGCTGGACTATTTGCTGAGCTCTCAGCTGCACCTTGCCCTCAGCCAGTGTGACAGGGATGCCACACCCAGAGGCAGGTCACCAAGGCCCCAGAGGACTGTGGGCTCCTTTGCAGACCACGAGGCAGGGCCTGGTTGCCTTTTGGATGTTCCAGCCCACCTCGTTGTCTAGTGAAGGTCCCGTTAACACCAGGTGTCTTCACAAACCCCTCTGAGGCTGAGGGGAAGGAACCAGGTAGCAGGATGTGTCCTCAGATGGCCTTGTACTGAAACTCCCCTCTCGTGTGACCATACCTCCTGCAGTGGGATTTGTCTTGAGGGTGGCAGGAGGAGGAAGGGGACAGAAGGAGGAGGGGAGGGGGGCAGCAAGGTTGTGAGACATTTGTTGAAAGGTGCCAGACTGACATCAAAGCGGTGTGGGCCACTGGAAATGAGTGCCCTGTCCTGCCTCTGCCTCGCCCCTGCTGGGGAGGGAGAGGTCACCCTCGTCCTGCTCTGGCCCGGCGAGGGCTGCCTTCTGTTAGGAAGAACTGAGAGGGGAGGTGCAACTGAGTCCAGCATTCACCCCCAGCCTTGGGCCTCAGACCATTGGCTGAACACAGGGGCTGCCTGTTTTCTTGCCCCTGGACCTCTTACTCTTTCCTGGCCATCTTTGGGTAGGGCCTCCATTCCCAAAGGAGATGCCATCATGGGGCGTCTTTTCTCTCTGGGCTGTGCCTCCTACGTGTGGGCAGAGCTCATCCTTTGAACCCCTGTCAGGTGGGACCCAGGCTGTGCCCTCCCCACTTAGCCCCAAGTTTGTGGATCCATGTCCCCCTTCCTCCTGTGGGGTTTTTGTCTTGAAATCCCAGGGAGCACTGCCTCTTCTCAACCCTCCCAGGCTTTGAGGTTTTGGAGGATGGGCCCACAGGTGCTGGTCCCGGTGGCCATCGGGGTTGGATCCTTGCTGACCTCGGCTCCCATTCCCGGCCATTCTCTCGTGCTAGTCCTCGTTCCGGGGAGGCCAGAGCCGGGTGAGGGCTTCTTTCGGGGGTTAGCATTAGAGGAGCAGGTTTCTCCCGGGAAGGGAGCAAAGGCCACAGTATCATCTCATTTCATCTTTCTAGTGGGGCCATCTCCTGCTTTATCATCTCGGCAGTCACTGTCTTGGGGGCCTTTCCCCACGTCTTCCAGAAGACATTTACTGAATGTCTGCTGTGGCCCAGGCATTGTCCCAGGTGCTCAGAGTTTATCAGGGAACAAAACACACAAAAACTCTTGCTCTTGTGGAGCTTTCGTTTGTGCTTCACCCATCTAACATCCACATTGAGCGTTTCACGGCCCACACAGGAAGTTTGGTTGCTGAGATAGAAGGCTGGTCTTCCCACTGCCTACCTTGAGGAGTCTGGGGCATTCTTGGGACAGTTAAAGGGCTTTTCTGGAGCTACCACAGGGAGCGAACGGCCAGGACCCTACCAAAATCTCTGCTGTTGTTCACCCCCATCCATTGGAGCCCCCTGGGGAGGAGCACCACTGCTGGCCCCCATCCAAATCCCTGACCAGCTCCACGAGCTGGGGAGAGCAGAGCCCCGCCCGCTGGGACAGTGGCCCAGGCTGCTTCCTGGTGGGTGGTCAGGGAGAGCTGGGTTCGGTGGAAAGATTTGTGTCACTAGCTCTCCTGAGTTCAGCTACCAGCCCTCAAAGGCCTCTCTGCTCAGACAAAGTGGTTCAGGAGAAGGTGATGGAGGAGGTTGTTTCCTAATGACACCATGGCCTTCCCGTGCCCTGTGACATGTGGGGTGGCTCTGGTCTCTGAGCGGACCTCTGTTCTCAGGGCATCCTGCTGAAGCGGAGCGGCAAGTCCCTGAACAAGGAGTGGAAGAAGAAGTATGTGACCCTCTGTGACAATGGGCTGCTCACCTACCACCCCAGCCTGCACGTGAGTCCGGGAGGAGGAGCCTGAGCCCTAGGGGAGGGGTGGGGCTCGAGGGAGAATAACAGGATGGGGGGGGGGCAGGTCTAGGGCCGAAGGGAAGCAGAACCTTAGTGATTGCAGGCGGATTTTCCTTTGAGAAAGGACCTGGCTCTGGTGGCGTGGGAGGTGCGCAAGCCCAGGCCCCGCTGAGTGCTTACGCCGAAGCCCCACGTGTAGCTGAGCCTTTGGAGGAAGTTCTCCACCAGGATGGTCACCCTGGCATGGCCAGCAGGCCCCGCCCTTGCCCTCTGGGCAGCCAGGCTCTACACCCACATTCCAGTTGTTTAGAGTCAGGGGTGCCAGTGTTGCCAAAGAGCTGTCTTTAGCTGGGCCATGTCAGTAGGGGAGCAGCAGGCTCCTGGGCCTGGGACAGTGGAGGACAAGATTGCGGGTAAGCCTGGGCCATCGAGAACAGCCTGGGGCCTTGCACAGATCCTCCTGGGAGAAGGGGAGTGAGGGTGGCCCTGCTTGTGGGTGGAGGGGTCTGGAGGGTGTGTGGCCTGTGTCCCAGTGGGGAGAGGGTGTTGCAGTGATTGTAGAGTGGCCCCTGTGGCAGCTCCCCCACCCTTCCTTCCTCCTCCTCCCCTCGCTGCGTGGCTCCAGCACACAGCTGTTACCAGAATCCATCTCTGTCACCACCCCACTGTGGGGCTAATGAGTTCTCCTGTGAAGCCCCTCGAGCACAGCACGTGGGCCAGCCCCATCCCCTGGCCCAGAGGCCCTGGGCCTGCCTTGGAGGGTCCCTAGCTTGCCTTTGAATCTGCACGAGGTGTCAGGGAGGCCTGACCCGAGAGGTGCTGGGGTCCACGCCTCCTGCCATAAGCCGGTCCTGGGAGCCGCCCAGGCGGCCCTGGCGGGGAAAGAGCCGGCCTTGGGGGGGTCTGTCTCCATTTGGGTCACAACCTGGCCTGGCCCTCCCGGGTTTCTTCTCTGATTCTGTGTGTACTGGCCCTTCCCATTTGCTCAGGGGACGACGTCAGTTAGAGGGGATTCCCTCCTAACGTCCCTTACTCTACAGGGTAGGACGTGGTGCCAGGATACCGGTCAGCCGTGGTCCTGGGGGCCTGGAGAAGGGACCACATCCATTCAGTACTGTGGGCTCCTCAGCCCCCTTCTTACCCTGACCCCCACCCCACGCACAGACCTTGTCCTTCTGCTCGGTGCTTATGACACAGTGAGGGCGCAGCAAGGCCTACCAGGAAGAGCACTGACCACAGAGACAGAAAGCTTCTTAGGAGGGGCCAAAGCGCACTCTCCGGGTACAAGGCTTTGTCACTACGCGACAGAGCCCCACACCTGAGGGAAGGGCCGGAAGAGCCGGCAGCAGAAAAGTGAGTGATTGACAGTTTCCCCGCTGCAAGGTTCCCAGAGGCGTCGAGGCCATTCGCAGACGGAAGTCCCGGGTAGGTGTGCCGAGGCCGAGAGACCACTCCGGCACCTCCTGCTCCCAGCCTGTGCCAGTCACCCACGGCACGCCAGGCAGGTCCGCCTGTGCCCCCGGCTGACGCCCGCCTGGGTTGCAGAGCTGAGAATGGGCCTATTGGAAGCATCCCGGGTTCCCACCCGTGTGCGGTGACCTTGCCCTTGACTGTTTGCATCCTTAGCTCTTCCTTTCTGCTTTATGTGACCCTGTCTTGGTGCTCAATGTGTCCCCTGCTTGTCCCTGTGCCCCAGACAGTGAAGGAAGCCCAGGCTGAAGAAGAGGGATGGCAGAGGGGTCTCGGGATGTGGAAGAAAGGGTCGGCTGTGGCTGGGGTGGGGTTGGGTTTTGGTTTCGGTACAGGAAAGAAAGCCGAGAGCTTGAGGCAATGCTGTGTTTATGCGCAGCCAGCGGGAAAGCAGAGGCTCCGTGGGCTGGGGGCTTGACCAAGTCACCCGGTCGGCGGCTGAGCCAAGACTTGGACCTGTGACTTTGACTCTCAGCATTACCTGGTTTTCCTGCACTTGCCCAAAGCAGCTCCCTTTGGGGCCAGCTGGGAAAGTCGCTGAGGCGTCAACAGTGGGGGCAGGTGCCGTCAGGCAGGGAGGACGGGGAGCGTGGGCTCGCGGCCCGGGCCGGGCTGGGCATCGAAGCCCCCGGGCATCCCCTCCAGTGCCGCACTTGTTGCACCTGTGTAGCCAAGTGTGCTTCAGGGCCTGGGACAGATGCCAGCGGCTGCCAGGCCTGTCCTTGCATCCTTGCAGGGTGAGTTCCAACAGGTGGAGGCTCTGCTGGCCCCGTTCTCTGGGTCCTGCCCCCGCCAGGCTCCCTGTGCTCCCCTGGCCACAGGATGTCACCAGCAGGGTGGAGGCAGGAGCTCCTGATAGCACGAGTGACCGTCTGTCAGCAGTTGCTCTCCACTGACTGCCCACGAGCTCTGTGGTCAAAACGCACGTCCCTCCTCCACGCTGGACGCAGGAGGGAGTGGCAGGCAGTGCCATCCTTGCCCCGCAGGCTCTTCTCTTCTAATCAAGAAGACAGGGATCCAGGTTGAACTGTGTGGTGGCAGCAAAAGCACCTCCATGTCCCCTTTGCTGCCTTTTTTTTTCTCTGTTGCCTGGCTAGAGTGCAGTGGTATCATCAGAGCTCACTGCAACCTCCAACTCCTGGCCTCAAGTGATCCTCCCGCCTCGGCCTCCCAAAGTGCTGGGATTACAGGTGTGAGCCCCAGTGCCCGGCCCTCTTTGCCGCCTTTTTCCAGCCTGAGCAAGCTCTTTAGTTGCCCGCGGTGACCAGGCAGCCTCCCTACCTATGAGCAGCTGCTTCCTTTTGAGGCTTTCTGACAGGGTGTGGAGGACAGGGGCCTCGGTCCCCCCAGGGGCTCACGCAGAACTCAGGGCCCGGTCTGGCTTTGCTCCCAGAGATGAGTCTCACCTGAGACCCGAGGGCAGCCGGGCTGTAGAGGACGGGTTGGTGGGCAAGCCTCAAGCTTCGCGCCCGGCTCGTGCCTGGCCCAAGAGAGCCCACCACAGCCTCCCCCGTTCTGCAGCCAACGGAGCCATTCACACAATCACCTTCTGTTAATTCTATCTGCAACATCAATTAAATTGTTTGTAGAAACTAATTGAATGTGGCTTAATCACACATCTTAATAGCTTTCCACGCTCTGAACTCGTTGTTAATTCCAGTAATAAAACGAGATGAGAACGCTGGCGGGGTAATTAGCGAGGAGGCTGGGGAAGAAATTGCTGTTTGATGGTGGGTAATAAAGGCAGCCGCGGTGACCGCTCTCCTGAGCAGCCGCTGCCACTGCCACCACCGCGCTCCCCGTTCTGCTGACGGAGGGAAACGCTCCTGCTCTGCCCGAGCTTCCTGTCCCTGCTGCCTCCAGCTTCCCTCTGCTGTCCTCCAGGCCCGGGCTCCGTCCTCAGCTCTGGGCACTGGGCTGCCCGGGGACGGGCTGGCTGGTGGTGTTGGGCCGTCTTTTCCCCACAAGCCAGCGTCTGGCTCCTCGGCCCTGAGCGGAGTCCCTCTGTGCAGCTCTTGCTCTTGGCGTAGGGTCAGCCTCTGGCGCATCCCGGCCTGGGCATCCCAGGGCTATAGCGGGGCCTGAGAACTGTTGCAGCTGCTGTGCCCTCCTTGTGAACTAGAGCAGCCCAAGCCCCCCCTCGGGAGAGGGACTACAGCTGTGCCTTGGCCCAGCCAGCTGTTGACAGTTGTCTGGAGCTGCCGATCTAAGATGTGATTGTGTACAGGGGCTAGGGACTGGGGACGGGGACGAGGGGGGACCAGGGATGGGAACATGCAGAAGCCAGTCCAAGGGATGGAGGTGGGGAGAGGAGCCAGACAGTGGACTTGGGAGCAGACACGGGGCTGAAACAAGACCAGAGGGCAGCGGGGACGGGTGGGCGGAGCTTGGTTTGCTGGAGAAGGAGCGGATAGAGCCCAAAAGGGGCTCCTGAGTCTGTTTTCTTTCCAGCCACCTCAGGGAGGCCCAGGGCTGGGGACAGCCCTGTCAGTGCCCAGCAGAGTGTGGACTGAGGCTGTCAAAGGGGTCCTGTCTTGGGCAGGAGGCTGCTCGTGTTCTCAGTTATGTCGTGTGGTTCTGGGACAGTGAACAAGACCTCAGCACACGTGTGCATGGGGCCAGGACCCTGGCACCATCCTCGCAGAGGGTCAGGAGTGGCAGGAGGGCACAGGTGCAGCCCAGGGCTGTAGAGAGCTGCAGTGCAGGGAGTGGGGCCCCTTCTTCTAGGGGCAGCCCCTCTTCTCTGGTTGGGGAGCCCTCCCCCCTTGCCCACTTCTGAAGGGCTGTCTTCCTGGGAGGGTATCGCAGCCTCCTTGATAGTGAAGGTGACAGAGCTCGGGCAGACGACATGGGGCGGGGCCTGGGCAGGGAGGCCACGTGCTGGCAGCAGGCCTTTCCACCGTCCGCCGAGGACACAGCTGTGGGTGGCGTCCAGCCCAGCCACAGGTGTGCGTGTGGGAGGCTGGTGTTTGGGGGCTCTCTCTCTCTCTTGTTTCTCCTCTCTAGCTGGCAGCACCTCCTCGTGTTCTCTCGGTGCCTCTTGTCTACTTGATGTCCTCCTTGCGGTTCCCAGAGGGAGCCCTCATGAGACCCACTGCCCTTCATGGCTTCCCAAGAGGCAGCACTCCCTGTCGATTCTTTAAAGCAGAGGAATTGTCCCTTTTCCCTGAAGCTACAGGGTGAGCAAATAGAGAAAGCCTGGGTGGAATTCAGTCAGCTGCCCGGAGTGGGCAAAGGTGAGAGGGCTGTCCCCTCATTGCTGGAAGACCGCCCGCGTCTCAGATGGCTCCTCCGGCAGAAGCTCTTGGGTTGCAGAACGTCCCGGAGATGTTCGTGAAGGGGAAACGAGGAGCTGATTGTACGTCTAATCGCTGTAACTCAGTCAAAAGTTGTATTAGGTGACACCACCCAGATTCTCCTCTCAGGAAAGTGTGTCATCCCAGGGAAGGGATTTTTGCTGCGTTGTCAAGGGTGTTAGCTGGGAACCCCCGAGGAGCTGGATGGTGATGGGGACCTGGGAACGAGTCAACGGTCTGGAAAGGGAGACTCGAAGCAGGTACAGCCCCGGCTCCAGGCCAGGCACCGAGCTTAAAGCAGAAAGCTCAAGACAGCGCCCCCACCCTCCCTGCCACTCGGCCACGGTGCTCCCAGGCCGAAACCCACATGGTGGGGGAGTCCAGCACACAGTGGCTCCCACTCTGCGGGGCGCTCCTGGTGCCAGCTCAAGGCAGGGTGAGTTCTGGAACCTGGATGGGCTCAAGGAGTCTGAGCGTGGAGCACGGCCTCGGGAACTTGAAAGACCCGGGCTTGAGACTCGCTCTGCCGCCTTTTAGTTGTGTGTTTTGGGGTGGATTAACCTTGCTAAGCGTCAGTTAGTTTCTTTCCTCCCTTCCTCCCTCCCTTCCTCCCTTCTTTCCTTCCTTTCTTTTTTTTTTTTAACAGGGTCAACTTTGTTGCCTGGGCTAGAGTGCAGTGGCACGATTATAGCTCACTGCAACCTCAAACTTCTGGCCTCAAGCGATGCTCGAGACTTGGCCTCCCAAAGTGCTAGGATTACAGGCGTGAGCCACCATGCCTGGCCGCTAAACCTCAGTTTCTTCATCTACAAAATAGGCATAGTAGTACCTGCCCCAGGTTGCTGTGAAGATTACGTGAGATAGTACTTGAAATATGTATGTATAAAATACACTGCTACAGTGCAGTAGATGCCTGGCACACAGCTGGGCGGATGATAACGGTGATGACAAGGGTTACTGCCAGAGAACCTGTGGTATCTTAAACCATGCACCTGTTGCTGTATTCCAAAGTCCAGCAAAAAGAACCAAAGGCTTCATTTTAAACTGTTCAACGAGTATTTATTATCGGGCGCTGTTCTAAGGGCTGGACTCTTCTAGGCTTTAAGAGGTTTTTAATGCCCAGGTGGGAGTGGGGGATTCTGGAACAGGCTGAAGGACTTGGTGTCACCCATGTTCTAGACTGTGTCAGCTCCTCCCCTCAGCCACAGGGGCTCTCCTTACATCCAGCTCAGTCCAGCACTCGGCCGCCTCGCGCTGCCGCCTCCTAAGCTGTCTTTTCTAAGGGCCTGAGCTGCGGTGCCTGGCTCCAGATGCTTAGATACCCCCTGGCCCTGTCTCCCTCCTGGCTAAGTCCCCATGAGCTGTCCTGGGGCGCCGGGGAGAGCGAGGCATAATCTGGGCTTGGAAATGTTCCTTAGGCTGTAGAGTCCTGCTTTTTAAGATATGTGATTTCCCTCTCCTCCCTGAACCCAGGTAGCACAGCAGGGAGAGACCCAGAAGTTGAGAGGGTCAATGCCAGAGACAGGGGGCCACTGAAGAGTGGCCTGTCCTAATGACTCTTCTTCCCCACATGGCCTTTAGGATTACATGCAGAACATCCACGGCAAGGAGATCGATCTGCTGCGGACAACGGTGAAAGTGCCAGGGAAGCGCCTGCCCCGAGCCACGCCTGCCACAGCGCCAGGCACCAGCCCCCGCGCCAACGGGCTGGCTGTGGAGCGGAGTAACACACAGCTGGGTGGGGGCACAGGTGAGGTGGCTGCCGAGGTGGGGTGTGGGGAGTGGCTACGGCGGGGCAGGCAGGCGGGTGTTCTGGGCTCTGCTGCTTCTCAGCCTGGCCACAGGGCTCCACACGTGCTGACAAGCCAGTATCATGCTTTGGGGGGTCATCTCAGCCCTGTGCATGTGCCAGAATGCAGCCCTAGCGGAGTTAGTTGAGGTAGTGGAAAATGTCTAGACCAGCAGCTGATTTGGACATCAGGCGGGGCCGGGTAGCCTGTGTCGGTGGTCCTAGGCCTATCTCTGCGTCTAGATCCAAGGCAGGCAGCGGGTGGGTGGGGCCTCTTGGCGCACAGGGCCAGCATGGCAGCCAAGCTTGCCGCAGGGAGGGAGGCAGAAGGGGACAGAGCTAGGGGTCAGCCAGGTAAACATTCCCAGGTCTGCAGTGAGAGGTGGGATATCTGCTCAGAGAGGACTGAATTTAGCGAGGAGCTGGGGGCAGGGGACGCTGTCGTGTGTCCAGTGTTCGGAATGAAGCTAGGGACCAGGAGGCAGGGAATGGGGCAGAGCAGCCTTTCTCTGGCCGTGTGTTTCCCTTTCTGCGAGATAGCGTGGGCTCGGGCAAAAGGCCCTGTCCCAGGGACTCCCTAGGCAGGCTCGTTCCTCTTTCCCGGGCTTCTCCTGCCCCGGGCCCTGGGGCTGTCCTTTCACACCTGGGCACCTAGAACCCCTGGGCTCCTGTGCACTCCCTCCAGGACATCAGTGTCTCTAATGCTGTCCTAGGTCATGGAACAGCATTTCCCTGGGCACAGAAACAGCTGCTCAAGACCCTACCATGCCCTGAAAGTCAGCTCCGGCAGCGTGGGGCTTCAGCTGGGTGCGCCCTCCCTAGAGGGCAGTGGGGATGCCAGCGTTTCTGCTTGTCACAGTGACAGGAGGGCGCTACAATACTTAGTGGACAGGGGGCTGGGAACACTGGAATAGATGGGACAGGCCCAGACAGTAAAGAATTGCCCCTCTGAAGATGCTGATGGGATCTGCTCTGGGAAGGGCGAGACGCTAGCTCTCTGGCACGGTCCTTGTCTGCGGCGAGGTGTGTGTTGGGCTCATGCTGATGAGGCCACCACTGACCAGGCTGGAGGCGTGGGTAGAGGCCGGGAGGGACCCGACACCACCGCCTGAGACGTGCCAGGTGTGGTGGTGTCTCTGCCCCAGGCCCAGCCCCACGGCAGCTCCGGGAAGTCAAGATCACAGTCCCCATTTTAATGAGGAAACAAAGGCTGGGAGAGGCTGAATAACTTGTCTGTGTTAATCCCCCAGTAAGTGCGAGAGCGAGGGTCCAGCCTAAGTGTGTCTGGCTTGAAGAGTTACATTCTTTCCTAGTCTAAGCCACCCTGAGCTCAGGGCGAGGAAGCGGTGAAGTGTGCAGAGGGAGAGATCTAGTGGATGGAAGGAAGGAAGGAAGCCAAGGAGGACACAGCCAGCCAGCAACCTGTCACAGCGGTGTGCCAGCAGGGGGCCCCGGGCCTGCTGTGGGGTGCACGGGTGGGAGCAGGGCCCGGCTCCATGGCAGAAATGGTAGGTCACGTGCAGTTCTCAGCGCTCAGCCCAGAGAGCGGTCAGAGCTGCTGGGAGCCCTCCGGCCGGGGTCCCCAGGCCCTTCCAGAGCTTCATGCAGAGACTGGCGGGCCCCGTCCGGGCAGCGCGGGGTTTCTCCTGTCACACTGAGGTGGGGAGAGGTACGAGTCCGTGGCAGAGAGCCTTTCTGTGAAGGCAGGGAACAAGAGGAGAGCTGGGCTATTGCCTCAAAGAGGGAGGGGAACAGACACCGTCCTGCCCCATTCCTGTCCCTGACGTCCTTCCCCTGGGCAGCCGCAGCACACTCGCTCCCATAATTACAGCACCGCACACAGGAGCACACGGCGCCTACCCGAGCCTCGGCCCCGCTGCCGCGCGCCGACGCCGACCCGCACGCACACTCACACATGTCTCTCGCTCACCGGGCGATGTTAACATCTCATTATCTTTGTTACTGTAATTACATTATCCGCTGCTTTATGCAGAATTATCCTCCGAGGACTAATTGATGGCTCCATGTTTAATTCATTAATCATTAGCATCAAATTCGACAATTACAGTGCACACTGATTGTGGGATTGCAGGCGTAATGAGGGGAGAATTAACAAAGAAAAGGGAAAGCACTTTCCCTCCCTCAGGGTTTTGGGTTGGGGGCTCAGGGAGGAAGTTGGGCCAGTGATGTCTTTGGCTGGGGCTGGGGGTGAGGGGCCTGTGATTTGGAACCTGGGGGAGAATGCAAGCAGGAGGAGTGGGGAGGGGCCAGGTGTCTGAGAAATTAGGGACCAAGTCTCCCCCGACAGGGCTTCCTGAGTGGGGGAGGAGGGGGACCTGTTAGAGCAGAGGGAGAGGTGGTGGGACTCGGAGGAGGCAGCATCGCGTGTTACCTTAGGGGACTGGAAACGGAGACTGGCCTGTCATCTTGGTGCCACACGTATGTTACTAAGCACTTACTGTGTGTCTGGTCCTGCTTTGGGTGTTAGGGCAAATACAAGAGAAACACAAAACTTGCTCTCTGCCTTTGAGCATCGTACTGTCCCCAGAGTGTTTGCTATGTCTGGCCTGTTCCTTTACCTTCTAGCTGCTTCAGCTCAGGCTTCTTATCCATAGGCTTCCAGAAACTCAGTCCCCTGCACCGCAGGGGTGGCGTGAGGCCTCGTGTGTGCCCTTTCCCTGGCTTCGCCTCTGCTGCTTCCTCCAGCTTTGGCCAGCGCCAGGCCCTTCTCTGCTTTCCTGCTGACCCCCTGCACCTGGCTAGGTCCTCGGGGTAAAGTGCGAAGCTACTCCGCGCGCCCACCTGTTCTTAGACGCCCGGGGCCATTTCCTTCTGGCCTCAGTCATCGCCCTCAGTCTTGGGTGGACTGAAGACGGGGAAGGAAGCTTCTGGTTCTCAGTGTCCCAGCCCAGGCTCTCTAAGTGTCACAGGCCTTGAGGCCTATGCTGTTCCTGGGTCTCTCCAGAAGGGCCTCAGCCCCGGAGCGAGGCCGGGAAAGCCTGCAGGCGCTGTCCTCCTCCCTCCGCTGCCGCGTGCCTGCCCAGCCTGGGCGCTCCTGGCGCCTTGGGTTCCCCTTGGCTCTGCCATTCTTCCCTGATGGGAAACGAAAGATTAATTTTCTCCAGCCCCACAGGATAATTACTAATACTAATTAGACATAATTACTTGAATTTGATACACTTATTTCTCGTCAGAATGGCAGCAAAGCTGAGGCAAAGCAAATGGCATATGCGGACTAAAACGCGGGGTGCAGGGGCCTGAGCCAGGAGGGGCAGGGGCCGGGACGGAGCAGGCCCAGCTCTCGGCCTTGGCCAGGGAGCACTGCAGTGAGGGGGGCCAGCACCACCCAGCTGTTCCACAAGTTGGGAGGCCTTGGCATAGAAATGCCTCCCTGTGTCCTACTCCCCCACCCATTCCAGCTCTGGGGTCACAGGGAGGGGACAGAGTTGTGGACCTTTATGTGCATGGAGAGAGGGGGCGTGAAGGTCTGTGGACAGGCTGCTGGGCACAGGCCTCTGGCTCTACAGTAACCCTGGCCGCCACCTGGTGAACCCAAGATCTCATTTTTGGTCAGCAAAACCTGCTGGAATTTCTCGGCTCGGCCATCACCCTGTTTGCAGGACAGTGTCTCTGTGCACCCTTAGCCTGGCCTCCCGTCCAGTCTGACCCTTCCCCCCTCAGGTGCCCCCCACCTGGCCAGCAGCGCGTCCCTGCACTCCGAGCGCCCACTCAGCAGCGCGGCCTGGGCTGGCCCGCGCACGGAGGGGCTGCCTCAGCGCTCCTGCTCCGTGTCCAGCGCAGACCAGTGGACTGAGGCCGCTGTCCTGCCCTCGGGCACGCAGCACCCTGGTGAGTGGTGGCGCTGCCTGTCCCCCCTCTTCGGGGACCCAGTTAAGGGACAGAGGAGGGGAGCTGTGCAGCCTTCTCAGCCGGGGAGGCTGCAGTGGGACGGTGCCCAGCTGAGCCCTCCAGGGCTTGTCACAGACACCTGGCTGTGGGGCCTGTCACCAGTCTTTTCTTGGAAACAGAGTAGGGGCCCTGACCCTTCTCCAGCCACCACGTGTGGCCACTTCCCCCTTTGCTTTCTCCAGAGTCCTCGGGCCCTGCCAGGGCCAGTGCTAGAGGCCCATCCTCTGCAGCTCCTCCTCCCCTCTGTCCCCAGGCGGCGCTGGTGGCGGCTCCTGCATCCCCATCAGCCCCCTGCGCAGTCAGCTCATCAGCCTCTCGGCAGGGGGACGGGGAAGCGGCTGAGTGGGGCGGTTGGACGCTGGGGGCTCTGAGCTGTGCGGTAGCCCCTCTGCCCCAGCCACTGCCATGGAGCCAGGGGGTCCCCTGGAGTTGTCCCGAAAGGTCGTTTTCCCACCTGTGCTGGCTCCCTTGGACTAGGTGGGTCGGACACTCAAGCTCCTCTCTCCAGTCCACCCCTGGGCTTCCCCCTTCTCCTCTCTTCTTTCTCCTTTCTCTCTTCCCTCTCCCTCCTCCCTCTCCTCCCCACCTACCTCTCTCTCCCCCCTTTTCTTCTTTCAACCTTGCTTTCACCCCAGTGCCGACCTTTTGGCCACAGACCCTGTCAGCAGTTCGAGGGCCAGGAAGGGAAGGGACAGTCTCCTTACGGTGAAGGTGTAAAGACAGGGAGGAGACCCAGGGCGCCCCACTGCCCCCTGGTAGGCCGGGGGGGGGGTATCCCGTGGTCCCACTGCTGCCCCAGCCGAGGCACATTCACCACATTCTCCTTCTCCCTGAGATGCCTCCCAGAGACCTCCCCCACCCCCCACCCCTTCAGTAGCCACGCTCCCACCCACCCGGCCGCCTCTGGGCTCTGGAGCAGCCCTGAGGAGCTGGGTGATCCCAGCACAGGGCGTCTCTGCCCCCAGCCTGGCCCAAGCCCACGCCCACCTGGGGGAAGTGAGGATGGAGGGCATGAGAAGGGAGCCGGGGGCCCTTGCCTGGGGTCACTGGTCCAGGGCCTGTGCTGGCCTTAGTGAGCCCCTCTGCTGAGTCTGGAAGGGGGAAGGCAGGGAGGGAGGGAGCGTGTCTGCCTCTAATGAAGTTTGACATTTAGTGGTGAGCGCCGGGCGGGGTGTGGGAGACAGAGCTTGATTAGCGCGCTCTAATTGACAGTAATTAGGCAGCTCCCTGATTGTTTCTAATTCTGCTATTAATTGTGAGGAGCGGGGAGTGTGATTGAGGATAAATTTGGTGCGGAGCTGCTGGGGCTTCAGCTCCCTGTGAGTTCCCCGGGCTGCCTTCCACCCTCCAGGCTGCAGAGGCAGTCTCCTCCCTTCGCCTTCCTCCTGCTCGAAGTTTCCTGCTCACTCTCCACGTTTTCCTCCATGGCTGGGGAGCTTTGGGACTGGGAAGCCTGGGCAGACCCCTCGCCTGGAGGGAGGGTGTCCGTCTGGCTGGCCCAGGTGTGGCCCAGCTACAGTTGTCAGGACCGGTCCTCTCCTCCCTGTGCTCTGGGCCTCCCCCGCTCCTCCGCCTCCCCTCTTCCCACACTTCTCCCACTCTCCCCTCACCAGCCAGTGGCCCAGCTGAGGTGCTCAGTTCCAGCCCCAAGCTGGAGCCTCCCCCATCTCCCCACTCCAACCGGAAGAAGCACCGGCGGAAAAAGAGCAGCGGGACCCCCCGACCAGACGGCCCCAGCAGTGCTGCTGAAGGTTAGGGGGCCCCAGAGGGGAATGGGCACAGGAGGTGGGCAGTGGGACTTGGGGACAGTACTCTAAAGGTAACACCCTTTTCTCTGTATTAGACGGATTAGGCACTTTCTAGTAGTAATTTCTAATAAAGGTAGTTCCCTAACTTCTTTTGATGATCTAGACCCAGAATCTTACGAAAGTTCTTTTTTTCTGCTGAAACCCTTTCTGTTGAAATGTGAGCTGCTTTTATTCTTAAAGAAGGTAAAAGACAGCAGGCTAGTACTGCAATAGCTCTGCCAAGACGTGTGGGGCAGGACCTATGTTTTCTGTGTCTCTTGTGTCATCCGAGTTTAATGAGCGCTGGATACCTAGTAGGTGCTTAATACGTGTGTACAGACTGGCTAAGTCTCCCCTTAGTCTTCCTTAGGCTAAGGAATTCAGCTCCTTAAACATCCTGCCGTACGACCTTTCTCATAATCTTTTACTAATTATAGCGCTGCTCCTCTCATTTTCCCCAAAGTATGTTCAAAATCTCCCTCTTCTCAGTGATTGGAGTCTCTTTGCTCCCAAATAAGTTTAATTTCTGTAGACTCAGAATTTCTCATTCTGCTCTAATTGTCAGGGTTAGGGGCATGGGTCAGGTGAGCGGAAATCAGCTTTTCCAGCCAGCCTGTGACACGGTGCTGCTTAGCGTTTACGGAACAGGGTGTCCACTGTGGTCCAGGGGACTGAGTCCCCCCGCGATCATGGAGATCGTGTGGCTCAGAGGCTGTAGTTATAAGTGAGGTGGGCGCAGCAGTGGTGCCTGGGGCAGGCAGAGGCGCCAGTCCTGTCTATGTGAGAGGGTGGTCCTGTCAGGGGGCCCTGAGAGCAGGAGCCAGCAGAGGAAGACTTCCAGGGGATGCTGGTGTCATTGAGGTGAGGCTGCCCAGGGCCAAGATGCAGTGAGGACTTACAAGCAGGGCTGGCCTTGGCCAAAGGTGTGGCTCACCCTGGAGCCCCCCCACAGGTACCTGTGCTGTCTCTCCAGCCTTGGTGACACAGTCACACTGCTCATGAGGAGTGTTCACCATGGGGCAGTGACCATTGGAATGAGACTCGTGTGGCTGTGGCTGTCTTCCAGGGGCCTGGGGCAGCAGAGCTGGGAGGGGCTTCACCACACTGCTCAGGGTAGCAGTCCAGCCCCCAGTGCTTGTTACTGCAGATGCCCGCGGTCCCCGACTGCTCGCATACTCCTGGAGAAAACCTCTCCTCCTCTCCCCCATGCACTTGCCCTTCCTGCCTGTCTATGCCAGGGTGGTGGGGGAGGGGCCCAGCTCCCAGGAGCCCCACGCTGACGCCGTCAGGAATATTGGGTTTAATGAGCTGCAAAATGAGGCGGCTGCAGCTGACATATACGGATGGTGCCCACACCCGCCTCCCCGCCCCCTCCCAGCGTTTGCCTCCTAGCACCCGTCGCATCCTTCTCCAGACGCTCGGCTCTTCTCTCCCCAGGAAGCACCTCTCTCTGGCTTCAGACCCATTCCTGCCAGTGCCAGGGATGTCAAGACCTGTGTCCCCCATCTTTTTACCCCAGGCTCCACAGGTGGTTAGGAGTGAGGTTTGAGGGCTCACACTAGTCTTACAAGTTTACTCTGCGTCTCCCTTGAGAGCGTGGCCTGTGAGGCAGGGTGGGCAGATCCGGGGCAGGACGACTGCCAGGGAAGCCAGGCAGGGAGTGGAGTTGTGGCGCTGGGCGTGCGTGTCGGCCAGGAGCCTTGAAGGCGTGACCTCCCCTCCGCAGAGGCAGAGGAGTCGTTTGAGTTTGTGGTGGTGTCCCTCACCGGGCAGACCTGGCACTTCGAGGCCTCGACGGCGGAGGAGCGGGAGCTGTGGGTGCAGAGCGTGCAGGCCCAGATCCTCGCCAGCCTGCAGGGCTGCCGCAGCGCCAAGGACAAGGTTGGCACGGGGAGGTGGGGTGCACGTGGAGCACCTGGCTGGGATGGGACTGCAAGAGGCCTCGTGACTGACCCTTGTCTCTCCCGCCACGTGGCAGACTCGACTGGGGAACCAGAACGCGGCCCTGGCTGTGCAGGCCGTCCGCACCGTTCGTGGCAACAGCTTCTGCATTGACTGCGACGCGCCCAGTGAGTGCTGAGGCTGGGAGGTGGGGAGCCCAGAGAAAGCTTTGCAGGCACCAAGAGGCGGGGAGGATGCAGGGAGGAGGACTCTCCTAGTTGTCCCACTTCTCTGGTTGCCGCCGCTGTACTGCTTTCCTCTCCTCGCCTAGACCCGGACTGGGCCAGCCTGAACCTGGGCGCCCTGATGTGCATTGAGTGCTCAGGGATCCACCGACACCTGGGGGCCCACCTGTCCCGGGTCCGCTCCCTGGACCTTGACGACTGGCCACCTGAGCTGCTGGCTGTTATGACCGCGATGGGCAATGCCCTGGCGAACAGCGTCTGGGAGGGGGCCCTGGACGGCTACGCAAAGCCAGGGCCTGAAGCATGCAGGTGAGTGGATGGGGCCCTGAAGCTGGCCAGGAAGGGAGGGGACATCCGGGGCTCCCAGCATGGGGAAGACTGCCGTGGCTGTGACAGTGTGAGAAGGGTTAAAACTAGCGGTTGCTCTGCTTGGCAGTTGGCCCCTTGGGGGTACCCCTCCCCCTCTGGTGCCTGTCACTCAGGCGCCTCACAACAACGGGCCCTTTCTGAGCCGTTATCAGCAGGTCAGGGGGCCAGCAGGAGGCGCATGCGCAGGGCCCCTATCACGGTGTGGTGCGGAGCGCCCTGGCCGCACACTGAGATGCGGAGAATGGGCGGTAGATAGGGTAGTGCCTGGCCCCCAGCGCGGGCCCCCACCCGCTTTGTTCCAGCACTGCCAGTCGGAGAGAGTTCAGACGGCCAGATAAGCTGCCACCCGGGCCTGCCTGGAGTCATCCTGCCCTCTCAGCCCCCACATCGCTGCTGCCCCAAGGGTCCTCCCTTCAGTGTCCCTTCCTTTCAGCGTCTCTTGCCTGCCTTACGTTATCCGTATGCCCTGGGGTTTCTTAAGCTTGTTTTCTCTCTGCTCCGTCTTACGTTCTCTGTTTCTTCCTCATCCCCCGTTTCCTGTCCTGACCACCCCCTGCCCCACCTGTTGGCTTGCTGTCCTGCCTCGCTCACGCCTGGATGGACCTGTGGCTGCAGAGAGGAGAAGGAGCGCTGGATACGGGCCAAGTACGAGCAGAAGCTCTTCCTGGCCCCGCTGCCGAGCTCTGATGTGCCGCTGGGGCAGCAGCTGCTCCGGGCGGTGGTGGAGGATGACCTGCGGCTGCTGGTGATGCTTCTGGCACATGGGTCCAAGGAGGAGGTGAACGAGACCTATGGGGACGGGGACGGGCGGACGGCTCTGCATCTCTCCAGTGCCATGGCCAACGTTGTCTTCACACAGCTGCTCATCTGGGTAAGTCGAGGCACCTCGGACCTACCCTGATCTCGCCCTTACTCTAGCCCTTTGAAAGCTACCTCTCTGTTTCCTCCCCCAAAACTGGTATCTTTCCTCCCATGTCACGCCAATGGTGAAAATGTGCTTTCTCCTGCAGTATGGGGTGGACGTGAGGAGCCGGGATGCCCGGGGCCTGACCCCGCTGGCCTATGCCCGCCGGGCCGGCAGCCAGGAGTGTGCAGACATCTTGATCCAGCACGGCTGCCCCGGCGAGGGCTGTGGCTTAGCGCCTACCCCCAACAGAGAGCCTGCCAACGGCACCAATCCCTCTGCCGAGCTGCACCGCAGTCCCAGCCTCCTATAAGGCCCAGGAAAAGGACAGAGGGGCCAGAAGGACCCATGGCCAGGGGATCCTCCTCTCTGCAGGCACAGGAAGAAACAGACACAGAGACAGAGAAGCAGCAACATGCAGAGGAAGAAGGAGAGGCAATTAGAGAGGAAAGTCAAAGGGATCCAAGGAGAGTTTTGGGATTTGAACTGCAGCAGAGAGAGGGAGTGAGGTATTTAGCCCTCTGCCTGAAGGTGCCATTGAAAAGGGACAGGACCCTTTGGAGGTGCCTGTGAGGAGAGGGGAGCAGGACCTCTCCCTCCTCCAGATCCCTTCCTCCTGCCGCCAGCACCCGCAAGCCTTCATCCTAAAGTTGGGACGGGGTACAGGTTGGGGGTGCTGGATGGGAGAGACGGGGTGATCTGTGAGTCCTATGTAAACTTTGTACATTGGAATATTTATGTTTGTGTACATAATTGGTGTGTATGATGAGCCAATAAACCAGACTGTGTGTGTGGCCTTGTCCTGTTATATTGCTGCCCTTCCAAGAATACCCCACATCTCTACTTCCTTGTCCCTTTCTTGTCATTTTTTGCTGCCTGTGTTCTAAGACTTTCTTCCCTCTTAGCCTGGGCCTCCTACTTGTGTCGATTCCCTCTAGCCTCCCCGGGCAGAGGCACACAGCAAGTCCTGGCACGAGGAGACAGCGCTCCTGGCTTCCCCCTGGTGCCTCCTTCCCCTCTCACTTTCCACCTGCAGGAAGTTTCCAGCTAGTCTCTTTATTGTCACCAACATTGTCCCTGGTAACCTCATGCCCACCCTATGCTGGCTAGTGAGGGCATAAGCATTGTCCCCTTTCCTCTGAGTCTGGGGACCCGCCCCACAGCCAGATGTACAGAGAGATACTTGAGTCAATAAACGGGAGAAGAACGTCAAGGAGGCCACCAGATGGATGAGTGGCAGCACTTCTCTCAGGATGGCCGTGTGACAGTGGAGAAGGACTCGTGCCCAGGCTTTGCTTGTGAGGAAAGGGTAGGAGGTAGGTCACTGACACCAGAACAGCCACCTTAACTCCTATCGACATGTCGCCAAGCCAAGCTAGGGGTAGGTTCTAGAGCCCCTGCTTTTCCTTCTGACTATCCCTTGGTTATTCTAGAAAGAAGACCTGGGGGAAACCCCTCTCTCTTTTAGCTCTTAAAGGATGAGACATCATTACTACATTAGGGTCCTGCTCTCTGAGGAGTCTGTTGCTACCTCATTCCTGGAGCCACATTGCTGGTGGCCCTTGTTTTCTCAAACACCTCAAGTACATGTTAGGTGTGGTGGGCTCGTGCTCCGTGCATGGGCACCTGCCTACATGTAGGGAAATAACCAAGTAACACTATTCAGAGAGGAAACCAGATTTTATTTTCTTGGTCCAGAGCCCCTTTTGCAAGGCTGATAAGACCTTACATATAGATTAGGGCAGAATAGACACAGGGCCATGGGTTCCTGGGCTCAGGATACTAGCAATAATCACCCCCAGGGTCCCTACGGAAAACAAGCTGGTTGGGAAGGCTAGATACTGCTTGGTACTGTTTAGGAGGCTTCATGGGTAGTGCAAGAAAAAATGGTGGATCAGGCCTTGATTTGGGCTGCTGCTCTCCAGCCTTCCTGCCCAGGTGCTCACTCACCCTCCACCACCGGGTCATGGAGCCACAGAGCCTCTGCTCCAGCCCCACCAAAGGGACAATAGCTTCTGTGATCTTCCACCTCTGCCTGGCTTATCTCCTAAAAAGAATCTTACCCTGTAGTAGGTTCCCTGTGTGGCCTGAGTCTAAAGGTATCAGAGTAAACTTAGCTTTGATGTAGACCAGGCTGAGAAAGGGACTACGTATTTTCAGTCTAATTCCTAAGCCCTCCTGAAATTTAGCCATGGAACAGAAGTGCTTGGATCTGTGCTGTCCCAGCTGCAGGACTGTGGTACCGTTAATGGCCAGTCCCAGCTCCTGGCTGCCTACTGTCTGGCTGCCAAAACTAGCTGGGAGAAGTGAACCGCCAAGGAAAGGTGGTCTCAGTCTCATGGTGAGAGGTGTTCAACACTGTTAGAGTGAAGGAGACATTGATGAATCTGCCATTCCAGGAATCAGGAATAGCCAGAAATTTGTCCTCTAAGGAGGGTGAGGAGGCAGGCCAGGTATTTGACCGAGCTGAACTTCTCTTCTTTCCCTGACCCTAATACCTTAATTTCCTAAGTTTCTTTGCCATGTTCATAGCCTACCTATTTTTCTTCTTGATGGTTCTGTTCTCTATCTAGCTCCTCTCCCAAATCAATACAGGTCATGTTTTTTCTCAGGAAGCCCAGTTACCAGGATACCAACTTCAACTGGTTTCTGTAATAATCCCGTTTACCCAATGTCTGTGCAGATGCATCTGTGGAGCCCGGCTCCCTGTGTTTACTCTGTCCACTAATACGGTTCCCTAATTTGCTCACAGAATAGAATGCCAATCCCTACCTGTGATTTCTGCAGCCTCCCCCACAGTACACACTCTTGTACAACCATCGCAGATTCATCTCTGTCCCATCCGCTTTGCAGTGGCCTCCCTCAGCTGATCTTGTTCCGTAACAGAAGAGCTTTTGCTATCCCAAGCTTCAAAAATGGTGCAATGGGGAGGAGAGACCACAGTTAATACCGTTAAAAACAGAACACTGGAAACGGGTCTTTTTCCCTAGGCCCTTGCATCTGGAATTCAAAGGGTGGCAGAGATAGACTAAGCTTCTGTGTCTTCTGCATAGAAAACAATTTATTACTGAGCTCACAGGTGACATGAGTGAGACCCCCACACCCTGCCCAAGTCACTGACAGCACCTCTACCTAGTTAGACAGCTTGGACACACCGCAGCTAAACCCAGGATCAAATGCTCCATTGCCCTTCATAATACAAAAGGGAGTGAATCTCTACCCTGAAGTCTGCCAACTCTTCCAAAGAGGAGAAAGCAAAAATGAAGGAGCTTGCCTGTTTAGTGGGTAGAGGGAAGAGAAGCAGCATGTTGGGAGCACGTGGTGTGGCAGTGAGCAGTCCCGAGTGGAGAAGCACAGGATGGAGGTAGGTAGTTCACATGGGGGGCGCTGGGAACCTGAACAATTTCTACGGAGGCCAGTGACAGTTCCATTCCATTTCTTTTGTAAAGGAGGCAAGATGGTACCCACCCCAAAGGAGCAGGATGGAATGAACTCTGGCTGAGGACCAAGGACACAACTTTCCCAATCTCTCTTAGGGGTGCAGACAGACAGAGACAGATAGCTCCATATATACAAACTTTACACAAAATAAATAAGGAGCTGCCATCTGCTTGGCTAGGTATGGTCCTGGATTCCTCCCCTTGGCAGCAGCTGTTCCAGGGCATTAGCCATGGAACCTTCAGGCCCCAGGCATCATAACCCTCCCCTCCCCAGGAGTCCACCTTGGTTCTCACAGCTCCTCAACAGTTAGAACCCGAGCCCCTCTACCCTGCAGCCCCTAGTCCTGAAGGTGTCTGGAACAGGCTCAGGGCCAAGTCCCCACATCTCAGGTTCCTGGAGGAGTACACCAAGGGCTAGGTTAATTGCCAACTAGCCCCTCTGGTCCACAGAACCCTGACTCAGTCTCACAGCAGCTCAGGCACAGATCCATTGCCTTCCTAAGTCCTTGGGCGCCCATTCAGGGCCGGGCCCCCTGCTCCATTTGTTGGTGCTGGCTCCGCACAGCAAACCTGTTGACATGCACGGGTATGGGCACGACAATCTTGGGGTTTCTTACAGGCTCCCCAGAACGGCTGCTCACGTTGCCAGCTTTGATGCGCTTCCACTTGGCCCGTCGATTCTGAAACCAGATCTTGACCTGCACCTCACTGAGCTTAAGGGCGTGGGCGATCTGGGAACGCTCTGTCAAGCTCAGGTACTTCTTGCAATGAAACTCCTTCTCCAATTCCAAAAGCTGCTCGCTGGTAAACGCTGTGCGGCGCCGTCGGCTTTTCCCCCCAGGAGCTGTGACCCCTGCTGCCACCGGTGCCCCCTCCTCAGTTCCAGTCCCCAGGCTTCCCTTTAGCTTCGGTTTAGGTCCCAGAAGAGCCCCCGGGCCCCCTGCAGAACTGTCCAGGAAACCGTCGTCCTCGCTGTCACCGCCCGAGCCCTCTTCCTCCTGTTCGCTGCCTGCTGGGTCTCCCGCTGGTGCCTCATCTGAGCTGTACACCTTCCCCTCTGCTGTGGGGGGCGAGAGACCAATGGAGGGGGAGGGAGAAGCAAGGAAAGGACAGACGGTTTGGAGGAGGCGCAAGGAACCATGGCCAGGAGTGGGGGTGGGGGACAGCAGGGAAAGATGCAGATGTGGAGAGATGGGGAGGAGAGGAGACAGAAGGGTCATACATCCAAGGTGGAGAACGGGGAAGGGGTTTAGGGAAGACAAAGAAACGGGAAGAAAGGTATTAACCAGCACAGATTTCACTACGGAAACGTGGGGGAGGCAATAAGGGTATGGACAATGACACCTCAACTTTCCCACCACCCCATCTCATTCTCCTGACCCACCATCTCCCCAGCTTTCTCCAAACCCAGAGACCAAGGGCCCAATGTCCCACTTGGACACCACCCCTCCCAAGCCAGACCTCGCAGTCTCAGGTCCCAGAATGGAGCAGTGTCGGACCTGGCTTAAGTTCCTTCCAGAGCACTATTGTGGGAAGGAGTGAAGGAGAACTGACCTTCGCAGGATAGATGGGGAGATGAGGGCTGTTGGCCTTTGTTATTCCCCGAGGAGTCCTCATCTGGCCCAGCTAGCAAGAGCCATCCCAGGACCTCTATTCTTTCTTCTCTTTTCCCTCTTCACTAGATCTAGAATCACAGAATCTCACTTCCAGATGGCCTTCAAGGTCATATGATCTGTCCCCCGACCCTGCCCCCAAATTTGGGTCCAAGAAATGTTATCAGAGGAGCTGGGAGTCAGAGGTTTCCTCACCAGCCCCATTCCCAATTCTCCTTAACCAGACACCCAGCCTGGAATGGGAGTCCCGGATATGTGGCACCTTGTCCATGGCCAGATTTTTCTCCCAGTTACTTAGGCCTCCTGACCCCCTTTCAATCAATATCCTTAATTTGAAAATGACATCATCTGTTTCCCACCTTCCTTCTTTCCTGGCCAAGGCTGCCTGAGCAGCACAAACAGCTGCTTTCTGCTCAAGTTCAGAATCCTGAGGGCCCTGAACTTGATGTCCCCTGGGAGGACTGGAAGGAATATGGGAGGAGGAGGAGGAGGAAAAATACAGAGAAGGAAATGGTGAAAAAGAAATTTTGACTCAGTAGATTAATGATTATTTGTAATCACAGGCATATAAACATTTTAATCTGCACCTAATTCTAAAATTTAATTCAACCATTGGTTTTAATCTTCTTATCCACTGACATATTTTATCGGAACTCCAAATAATGCATTACAAATGTTTTCAGTGTTTGAGTTTTACAAACTCCCCTGTTTTCTGCCCAAAGGACCAAACAACAGTGAAATA